AAGAAAAGAAAAACTTGAATAACTCTAGAAGGAAGCAAATTGCGCCGATATCCTTTGAGGCTTTTTCATATCTCTATGTGACCTATCGATTGGCATATGAATGAAAAAAATCCGAGATGGACACCTCAGGAGGCTCCCTCGTGAGTATAAACTGGAATTTTACTGAAAATGATAAAAAGTGGTCTATAGACACGAAATTTACATAACCAATGGGAAATATTTGTGAGAGAACAGCACGACGTAACGTTTAACAATGATAGACAACAATGCATGATAGTAGGTGGGATGAAGAAATGAGAAATTCAATCTATCATTCTATTGAAGTTACACGAACTTTTGCGCACGAAACGGTCGTTGTGTTTACAGGTTCTGAAACTTACAGTTTGCTAACTAACACATCGCACTATTCTCTATGATTCGTCTCTTCTCAATTTTATATTTGTCATGCACACTTAAAAAACGATGTTTAAAGATGAAGTTCAGTCAAATTCAAGATTACTTAGACATTATATCTGGCAGTGAAATAGCACCACACATCCGTGGAATTTTGATAGAAAACCATACTGATAAATTTGAAAATATATTAGAAATAATATCTTTCTCTTTGATCAATGAATCATTGCAAGCTTTCGAAAATTGATTACTATATGCAACGAAAAAACGATTTTAATCAATTTAGCCAGACCATTTCAAGAAGAACTTAGAAAACAAAAATCTCTTCAAGTACGTCCTAATCAAAGCTCACACACAATTCAGTCAGCTGCAATAAACATAATGAGCAACGCGTATTCCACAAAAAAACAGTATATCCAAAAGCTACAACATTTAAAGCATATTAATCAAGTATATGGGAATATGAGCCTCATTAAACGTTCCTAAATATCTTACAAATATTGAAATATTTTCTATCATATGATGGTACACATTATTCGTTATTCCTTCTGTTTTTGGATTTAACATCACTGACTGCTTTGAGCGAGATTATATTTCAAAAAGAGTACGTTCAGTGTCTCATAACTGTTTGCTCTTGAAAAATTAACTTTTCATCAGCCAAGCCACACTTTGGATATGAAGCATTTGACAAAGTAAAACTATTAGATGGGTCTACGACACTAATACCGGATATGAGAAAGAAATTCTGTAAGTTGAGACATTGATTTTGAATAATGTTTAACATACACCGAAAGGATTGTAGGTCTGCCGTGCAACTAAAGGCAATACGATTTTTAGTAACAAACGAAGAAGAACGTCTGTTTGTAATTGAATTTATACCTGTCGCAACGAAAGTATGCTCGTTTAGAAACAATATTGTACAGCTAACCGAGTAAAAGAACCATTAAGGATATTCTATGGTCCGCTCTATTAACCGATTTGAACACGTTACAAAACGCAGTAGTAAGTTCGAAGATGACTGGTTCATTGATGACGACTAGTAGATGGCACGTTCTAATAAACGATCAATGTACATCTATCACGGTACAACGAAACGTAATTTAAAAGTTTACAACTGAATTATTAAAGTAGAATGAGAGAAGATCTGGTTTTCTTTTGGATGACTAGAGAGAGAGAGAGAGAGAAAGAGCTAGTGAGGCTTAGTAACTCTGTTCGGATTATTAGGATGAAGATAATGTAAGTGAAACGCATCTATCTAATAGCAGCGAGACGTTTAATGTCACCGATGAATATCAATAATGTATTCGAGAAAATCTCGTTTAACTTGAAACATTAATAGAGAAATAGATCAGACTCGTTTGACAAACTTCAGCACATAATCAGCACAAATATCCTCCTGCTACCATCGACTTATGCCACGAGTCTTCCTTCAAACAATACATTCGTTATTAGAATTACAAGTGGATTTCAGTGATAATAATTAAAATTAAAAAAAATTAAAAATATAAAAATGTAAAAATGCAAAAACTGTTAAATTCTGTTACATATAACGTTAGCCTGTGGGTGGTGATAACCATTACGTTATAAATGGTGGGCCAGAAGTACTGAAACGATTACTGACCGAATTACTGGAACGATTACTAGCCACCCTTTATAACGTTAACTTGCTGTCACAGGCTAACGTTATATGTAACAGAATTTAACAGTTGTATATTTTTAAATTTTTTTTATTTTAATTATTATCACTGAAAAAGGCCTGAATAACAGAGGTCAAAGCGTTTGTTATTTAAATAAAATTACGAAATTAGGGTATCTGCTTATAACTCTAATAATCTTTCTATTTCGTATCAGCCAATTCTAGTGTTTCAAAATATATTCGTTAAGCAAAAGAATCTTGAGCAATAACAACTAATGCAACGAATGACTACTATTGAACAGACTGAAAATGTAATTGAAGCGGATCAATGTTTTCTCAATATATAAGCCTAATCAGCTGATGGTTTCCTTTTTTGTTTCACTGAGTTTTATGCATTTATGCAGTGTCTCTCTATAGAATTTTGTACCAATGTCAATATATACACCATAAATTATACTGTTCTCATATAGCAGAAAATATGATTCTGAACTTTTTATCGATTCAACAACAGAAATTTTGAGATTATAACCTGTTACTTTATTTCATCGACATTTTTATTTGTATTTCTCTACTATTTTCTCCCTATTATTTCAAACAAGGTTATTTTATTACATTTTGCCGTAGTACATGCATCAGAAACATCATATTTCTAATTCTATTCTTATGGTTTCTACTTTTATGGTCTGTATACAAGTTTTATATTCTTGCGAATGACGAACTTCTACTGTCGAAATGTTGAATAAGATAAAGAATAAATAAAATGAACTTTAAAATGGCTGCTATTACAATTTTCATAGACCAGCTTCAATATAATGAGATCATCGTTTCTCTATAGATTTCACCTTCTAAATTCTCCTTTCTTTATAACAGAAAATAATAACAAAAAACAACAAGTTATAAAAAAACCTGTAAAAAATATTTAAAAAATACACGTTTCGAGATACATCTATTGAACACAGTGAAAATTTGATACAAAAATAGTCATTTTTTACATATGTATACATGCATTAGTCAGTATTCAAAATAAGACAGAAACCTTGTAATACCCAATAACTGCTATGTTCAGTTGTGGATAAATCAGATTCAAACACTAAATCCACTCCCATTGTGTTACGACGATCGGACGTGACATAAACAGGGCATCGTAATGTATTCTACAACAAATGAGAAAGTTAGCGATAATGGCACAAATATTAAACTTGACTGAAACTAGTAGTCTACTGCATTGACGCCTTCATCAGCGATTATAGAAGTAAACTTGAATTGAGTACTTTGGATGGATTATTAGCTTATCTTACCTGTAATTTAAGTTTGTGTGATTCGATTGGAATAACTTTCATAACTGGTAATTCTTGTATAAGTTCTTTTGGACGTTGTCTTAATAAACAACATTTTCGAACATCCCAACTTGCTCCTTCCAAATAAAGTCCAGTTATAAAACAACCTAGAATAGAAAAAGAAGATAACTGAGTTTTCGCATCCGTCTGTGGGAAACTCTTGACTTTCTTACCTTGATGAGCACGTTCTGTTACATCTTTCGCTTTCGGTTACTTGTGTGTACAATGTTGACTTATCTAGTGGCCAACCATTTTTACGACATGTTACTTGAACAAGTGCAGTTAAATATGATTCAGGAATATGTAAACCGGACAGCCACATGACATTTGGTTCACCTTCATTCACCCACAACAAATATTTCCTTTAAATCTCCCTATTTGATATTAAAAACAACACTAATACGCACCCAACCGTTGTACAATTGATTTCTTCTCAGAAAATGATCCATCCAAGTGGCAAGATTTTTTTTTGTTGCAGATATTAATTTTTTTCCACATTGGAGGCAATTGTCCATTATAGAGAGCTCGTGCTAAATCATCCATTTCGTTTGACATTCCTACTTCATCTTTCAATGCCTAAAATAGTCATATATTCTCATTCAGTTGAAGTTGTATAACAGATTAACAAAACGTATATTGACATACTCGTCTCAATGTTGTTAATGATCTTGTTATTATTGATGTTAAATTATTAAATCGAGCTAATTCTTGTAATAACACCACGAATGTTGGAGAAATCGATTCACCACCAAATGTTTTCCAAACTTTATCAGTGTCATATTGAGGTGGTACACGTTTTAGTATATCAGCTGCTGTACTGTCGATGTATTCATCACGACTCATTCCACCAGTGGCTTCGCCTGTTTTAGAGATACAATGAATATCAAATTTATTCTATTTTCTACAGAAATATTTCATGAACATAAATGTTTACCAGATTGTGGTTGTAATTCGATTAGTTGTACCCATATATCACGTGCAGACTTTGTATAATAGCCAATTTCTGCATTTGGATGTAAACCAAATACTTCTGGAGTATTTGTTAATTGTAATGATTCGATATATTCTTCAAGAAAAATAATAACAGCAGTTAATAAGGGCTATTTAACATAAAAATAAAAATAAATTATGGTGGAATGATGTAAACGTAGTAATTGAGATTAGCGAGATAAACACGAGAAAAAAACAAAATTAAAAAAACATGCATTTGAGAGTATGTCCGTTTTCAAAGCGTTATTTAAAACTTGTATATGTTGTTCTTTACAAAAAAAACTAATATTAACATCTGTTCAATACTAACTCCTATCAGTCTCAAGGAATATAGTCTCGCTTAGAGCTATCTCACGTTAGTATTCTTTGCACAGAGTATGAGTAAACATCA